TGCTGAGCTGGGCATCTATCCTGCTGTGGATCCTTTGGACTCCACCTCCCGCATCATGGATCCCAACATTGTGGGCACTGAGCATTATGACGTTGCCCGTGGGGTGCAAAAGATCCTGCAGGTGAGTGAGTACATTGCTACGTGGAATCAGTGGCCATAAAGTTATAAAGAGGGAATTTGAGGACTCTGTTAAGACTGGGTCTTTCCAAGCGACTGATGTGAAATGTTTTGGAGCAAGGAAAGTTGAGACCAGCAGTTGCTCATGAGTGCTGATGAGATGTGTTGGGTTTCGAGGTACTTGGTTCTGGAATTCAATTTTTTTCTAATAGCACCAGATGAGGAGTAGGGAGAACAAGACACTGATCTTGGAGTCCTCATGAGCCCTCCACACCCCCGAGCATATAACCTTCCCTCTGTTAGCTTGTTTTCTATTTTTAGGTTTTTGTCTAAATTAAAGACGTGGATACTCAGGCTTCTTTTTTTCATAGGACTACAAATCCCTCCAGGACATCATTGCTATCCTAGGTATGGATGAACTGTCTGAGGAAGACAAGCTGACTGTGTCTCGTGCACGGAAAATACAGCGTTTCTTATCTCAGCCATTCCAGGTTGCTGAGGTCTTCACAGGTCATATGGGGAAGCTGGTACCCCTGAAGGAGACCATCAAAGGATTCCAGCAGATCTTGGCAGGTGAGGTTCTGAGTGCAAAGCAGAACATAAAATGGTAGAAAATCTGGAATCTTTTAAAATTTTCTTTCTTAAGTACACTTTATTCTTTAGAGCAGTTTTGGGTTCACAGCTAAATTGAACAGAAAGTCCAGAGTTCCCATATACCCTCTCCACCCCAAAAGCTGGAATCTTGAATGCTTACTGTGCTATATAGTCCCAATCCAGCAACCATCGAGCAATATGTAATTAGCTTTTTTTTCTGATTCGGGCCCCCAGTCTAGAGTACAGTGGCACAATCATGGCTTACCGCGGCTTTGACCTTCTGGGCTCAGGTGATCCTTGTGCTTCTTCCCAGGTAGCTGGTAGTATCTGCCACCATTCACAACTGATTTTTTTTTATCACTTTTAAAATTTTATAAACAAGCAGTTTTCCTTTAATCCTGTTTGGAAATATGTTTATTTCTGAAAGCGTAACTTGTTACTTGATTCTGTAATTTCCTTTTGTATATATCCAATGCTCGGTGTTTTCCAGGTTGCTGTGGTTTGTAGCTATTGTTTTTTTTTTTAAGCTGGATTTATTGAGAACAGAAAAGCTTCCACAGTGGGAGGGGACCTGAAGGGGTTTGCCCTGTAGCTACTTTTATAAAAGAGTTATAGCCGGGCTCGGTGGCTCAGCCAGTAATCCCGTGCCTTTGGGAGGCTGAGGTGAGCAGATTGCCTGAGCCCGCGGGTTCGAGACCCGCCTGGGCAGCAAGACCTCATCTTTACAATAAATCAAAAAATCAGCCGGGCGTGGTAGCGCATGCCTGTAATTCCGGCTACTCGGAAGGCTGAGGCGGAAGGATCGCTGGAGCCCAGCAGGTCGAGGCTGCGGTGGCCGGGAGCGGCCACTGCACTGCAGTCTGGGCGACAGAGTGAGACTCCAACTCAAAAAAAAAAAAAAAAAAAAAAAGAGTTATAACACCTTATAGGGATGACATTACCGGGTTCTATAAATTAGGAAACTGGAAGCACAGAAAAGTTTAAAATTAGAGAGTAGTCATCTGCGCTCATATTGGGTATCTCCTGACCATGTGTTCTCCATCCATACTGTATCCTGTCTTCTTGTAAATTTGGTGAGAAATTGAGGATTCTCAGATGACAAGAATTCGTGACATTCTGACCATAGGCCTCAAGTGGTGATGTGTGTGCATGCTGCAGGAAGTTGATATCCCTCCCCTTCTTACTAGTTGGATTTTTTTTCCATATAGGTGAATATGACCATCTCCCAGAACAGGCCTTCTATATGGTGGGACCCATTGAAGAAGCTGTGGCAAAAGCTGATAAGCTGGCGGAAGAGCATGCATCATGAGGGGTCCTTTGGCAAAACTAAGCAAGCACTCATCATCTTGTAATTCCCCTCCTTGCCCCAAATCCAAAAAGCTTCAGTTTTCTGTGTTGGCTGTTCAAAGCCTTGATTAAAGGAGGCATGTTCTGTTGGAAGAGTATTTAAGGTTTCCAATAAAATGTGAAGCCCTCAGAATTTGTCTGTTTTTCTTGGTTCTGACAACATAGTCAACACTGCAGGATTATTTTTAATTTTTAGAGACGGGGTCTTGCTATGTTGTCCAGGCTGGAGTGCAGTGGCTGTTTATAGACACGATAGCTCACTGAAGCCTCGAACTCCTGAACTCAAGCTTCCTGAGCAGCTGGGACTACAGGGCAGATGCCACCCTGTCCAGTCAACACTGAAGTTTTGCACAATTAGATTTTTATTTTTTGAGTTGGAGTCTCACTCTGTCACCCAGACTGGAGTGCAGTGGCCGCTCCCGGCCACCGCAGCCTCGACCTGCTGGGCTCCAGCGATCCTTCCACCTCAACCTTCAAGTAGCCGGAATTACAGGCATGTGCTACCACGCCCGGCTGATTTTTTGATTTATTGTAGAGATGAGGTCTCGCTGCCCAGGCGGGTCTCGAGCCCGCGGGTTCAGGCAATCCACTCACCTCGGCCTCCCATAGGCGTGGGATTACAGGCTGAGCCACCGAGCCTGGCCACAATTAGATTTTTAAGTTGAAGTCTCACTGTCACCCAGGCTGGAGTGCAGCCTTGACCTGGGCTCAGGTGATCCTTCCACCTCAACCTTCCAAAGTAGCTGGATCCATAGGTGTATGTCACCACACCCACCTAATTTTTTTATTTATTGTAGAGACGAGGTCTTGCCGAGTTGTTCAGGCCAGTTTTGAACCCTTGGACTCAGGTAGTTCTCTTACCTCTGCCTCCCAAAGTGCTGAGATTACAGGTATGAGCCACTGCACCTGGTGTTACAATTAAATTTTTTTTTTTTTTTTTTTTGCTGAGACCAAGAGATTTATTAAAAAGGCTGTTACAGAGAGGGTCTGTAACTGAAAAAAAGCAAGAGGGGGAGAGACAGCGAGAGAGAGTGAGAGAGGGAGCAAGAGAGAAAGAGGGAGGGAGTACAATTAAAATTTTTGAGTGGCTGCAGGAAGCACTTTAAGAATGAAGTGACCTCTGTATATTTGTAGGTCTTCAAAAAAGAATATAGCCTTTCTCTTGAATTGATGGATAACAGCAGGTCTTGTGAGGTTTACCCGTGGGTAGTATGATCTAAGTAGGGGTTTAGCTTTGGCCCTTTTAGAACATGTGTCCAAAGCAAATTGATTTTTCTTTCATGCACATTCTCAGTTAAAAATTGGACTTTTTAAGAAGGCCATATTGGGAAAAATACATTGATTTCAGAAATAACTTATTCCAAGACAAGTTAGGTTTAATCTGAGCTAAAGGAATTAAATTTTCGTGGGGATAAAGAATACTGAACTTTGTTTTGTTTTTTTCTTTTTGAGTTGGAGTCTCACTCTGTCACCCAGACTGGAGTGCAGTGGCCTCTCCCGGCCACCGCAGCCTCGACCTGATGGGCTCCGGCGGTCCTTCCGCCTCAGCCTTCCAAGTAGCTGGAACTACAGGCGTGCGCTACCACGCCCGGCTAATTTTTTTTTTTGATTTATTGTAGAGATGAGGTCTTGGCAAGTTGCCGAGGCGGGTTTCGAACCTGCGGGCTCAGGCAATCCACTCACCTCAGCCTCCCAAAGGCGCGGGATTACAGGCTGAGCCACCAAGCCCGGCTTGAACTTTGTTGAAATTCAGTCAAAAGGCACTCTATCCACATTTTGGCTGGGCCTTCATTTCTTCACAAAGTAGTCCTGACTACCTCCTGACATTTTGGGCAAGCGTAAACTTGCGTACTTGTGATTCCTTGAGGCTGTGCAGAGGTATAACATGAGGCCTTGCCTGAATCCTGCTAAGATCCCTTATGAAAGTTAAGCAAAGAATCTGTTACGGAGGAATAACACGTTTCAGGGCTGCTAGCTTGGGTTTCTGAAGTAAACAAGGGGATTAGATCATTTCCCCTTCTTTTTAGTCCACTGAAAGATAACAGGGTGAGACATTCACCATGTCAGTTGGAAACGTGTAGTGCAAGGTCACTTAAGGGTTCTTTTCCGGGTCCAGACCCATCCTACTGCCCTCTCGTGGTAGCACTGGAGACTGCGAGAACTCGGATCTCACCCCTCAAATCCATGAAGGCCATTTGCTGGGATGTGGTTCTCAGCTAATGACTGTTTACAAACCAGCTGGGGCTTCTGTCCTGGGGAGGAGCCTGCATCTATAAGCTCCACCCCCTGAGGTCATCAGTTGGGTGGAAGCTGGGCGGGGACAAGCTGAGTTCCCAATTCAGAGGCCCCTGGGGGCTGAAGGTTGGGGAGGGCCCTCAGGAGAGGCGCCAGGGTGGAGTAGGGGCCTCCAAGCTTCTTCCCTCCCGCCGGTGACGTCCTTGGCAGCAGCGTCTCTTGTGTCATGATCCGAGCGGAAGGTGGAGCCCCTGAGCTTGCGCCTGGTAGTTAGCTCCCAGAAAAGCTTGTATTTGGGGAAATGCTGAGTTATGGGGGTGGGGACGCTTCCTCTGGGTCCTGACTCTGGAGTAAGAAGCTTGTAGGAAAAGCCCCCAGCGTATTGGCCAGCCCTGTCTGCTTTGTTTTCCCACGTCACCCACAGACCTGAAAACCGAAGTCCTAAAGGTCCTTTGCATCCCTCCACCCCTTCCCCCAGCACGTTCACGTCCTTCAGCATTTATCGAGAATCTTCTCCCTCTCACTAGGTGCAACTATGTATTTCCTTCCCCCTTTACTGCCCTCTTCTACCGCGCCACTGGAAGTGTCAACACAGTTCTAACCTTCCTCCATATTTCTCCTGGTCTGCCTGTCCTCGCCTCCTCCCTCTCCACCCAGCGAAAGCCCCGCCCTTCCCTCCTCCCTCCCCACCCCAGTCTGTCACACAGGGACATCACCCTACAGCAGTTCAGGCTGTGTGGTTCGCAGGAAGCATACACTGGCTTTTCGATTCTTGCTAGTTCCCAGCTCACAGTTTGGGAGGATCAAATACCAGCCTTCACGGGAAGGGGGCCCAAGGACGGTGAGGCGCTGGGTGGTCCCAGCCTGGAGCCCTGCCAACCTGACATGGGTGAGTATGGGGACCAGCCCCGGGGAAGGCCTGAGGGATGCCTAGCTCCCTCCCTGGCTGACTCAGCAGGGGTGGGGCCTAACCTTTGCTCATTTGGGGGTGAAAGAGGGGAAACAGGACTATGGGGGGGCGCAGGGCTCAGCTGGGGAGGCTGCAGACCATGAGATCCTGAGCACTGGCAAGCTCCAGCTCTAAGAGTTCGAGACAGACCTTAAGCCAGGGCTTTCCCAGCCCCCCTCCCCCACCGCCCCGTGGAGTATTGCCCCTTGCTCCTCCCCATTTTGGCCGCTGAGATTCTGGTAATAGTTGACAGTGCTCACTGCCAGCCCCCACAAAAGTAAAGGGCACTTTTGGCCCTGTTGTAGGGGCTTGAAAGTGCCTCCCCTCCCCCAATTTCTCTCAGGCCTTTTAAGTCCCTGTCTTTCCTCCTCCCCCACCCTGACCCACCTTCAGGTGGGGGCTGCACGGAGCAGCTGCTTCCTGTTGCCCCAGAGGCTGATGCAAGGGTGGGGGTGGTGGTTGGGGGGGAAACTGAACTAGAATAAAGTCGATTCTCACGGTCCCACATCAGCCTCCCTGGGGCTGCTGTCGGTGGCCTCCTCGCTACTGACACTGAGGGCGTTGAGTCAGAGGCAGGACTGAGGCTGAGCAGACAGGAGGTTTGCCCTCGTGGCTTCCTGGTTGCAGAGGCTCCTCAGCTTTAGGGATGGGGCCCTAGGAGCTGGATCACGGGAAACCTGTTCACCCAGCAGGGCGCTGCGCGTGAACCCCGGCGTGCTCGGCCTTGCGTCCGCCCGCACCCCAGCCTCCTTGGAGGCCGTCCTGCTCTCCCTGCCTTCCCGGCCTCCTTTGTGAAGAGGTCCCTGCTGGTGCTCTGGGGGCGCGGGCAGAGCTCTCCCGAGTCCTTCCGTTCGGACCTGCCACCCTCCCCCACTCCACCGCAGAAGTTTCTGTCTCTTCCTGGGATCTGTCCTCTTCCTCCATCTGGGATCCTTCCTGGTTCTGGCCCCTAGGAGACGCCACCCGCTCCTCGCTCCTCCTGTGGATTCTTCGCGACAGCCCTCCCCAAGCGCTTGTCCTCACCCCGGTAGCTCCTGCCCCTTTAAGCGCCACCTCCCCCTCCGCCGCCGC